ATGAGAGACTATGGACCTGAGAAACAAACAGGGTTTTAGAGGGGAGGGGGAGGGGGGATTGGTTAGCCCAGTGATGGGTATTAAGGAGGGCACATACTGCATGGAGCACTGGGTGTTATACAAAAACAATGGATTGTGGATCACTACATCAAAAACTAATGATGTATTGTATGGTGACTAACATAACATAATAAAATTTTAAAAAATAAAAAAATGCCTTTTTTTTTTAACTATATAACTGTTCCTTTGTGGTTCTAAAGACAAAAATATACTGAATTTTATTATTCAAGATTAAGTTAACTGGATTAGCATAAGCAAGGTACATGTAGTACTTAGGTGTTACATTTCTTTCAAATATTATATACCCTCTTTTAATGTTTGTTCATCTCATTTTGAGTTTCTAAGTAATTGTTGAGGTGTGAACAGCAGGAGATCATGCATTTAACACCCCTGTCTGAGGTTCTTTCTGATCCCAGGGGCTGTACACAAAATACCTAGATGCTCTTCCATTTGCTCTTTATCTCGTTAATTCCTACTTTGGGTCTCACTTTCAATTTCACTTCCTGTAAGAGCCTATCACTAGAAAGCCCCCCCCACCCCATCCTAACTCATCTATACCTTATTCTCATAATACCTTTTGTCCTTTATAGCACTTAATCACATATTATCAGTTCTTACTAATATTATTATCTTAATGTTAGAAACAAAGAGTAAAAAATAATAAATGGTTAAAAATAGTAAGAACTGTAAATGTTAATTTACCAGCACAAATTCAAAACCTCCTAAAAAGAAAGCACTTGTGGAACATAGGGTGTACGTTAAATCTTAGGAAACACACCAGCCTGGCTGCCGCGATCACATCATGAATACTCCGGAGCATTAAATCTTCCACTTGAATGAGCCACTTTTCCACGGCACCTCGCGCTGCAGACGTGGAAATAAGGGCAATCAGCTGCACTCGCTCGCCTTCAGAGCTATACATGGCCTTAATATCCAAATTAGGAAGGAATTCCAACTTAGCAATGCCCTCAAAGCACTTTTTTAAATGAGGCTGAACTCTAAGTGGGTCTTTGGTCTCTGACAAAATCTCTAACATTTCATCATTAGATAAGAAGAAAAAACTAGAGAAAAACATGAAAATACAAATGCTTTAGTTATCCTTCATCACGTTATCAGAAAATGCTTTAAGTTATAGCACAATTAATTATCCATCATACCGAGGGAAGAAAAGTCGTTTTTTTTCAAGATATGCATTAAGCCCTTTCATAATTTTCTCCAAAAGTTCATTGCAGTTCTGCAATTTTTCCAATAAACCTGCTAAAGAAGCAGCAGCAAGAACCTAAAAGATACACATTTGTTCAGGTCAGCACTTATATACCAGATATAATTATAAGTCCTAAATATTTGTCTATAGTATATGTCAAAAATGTTGAAATGTCAAAAGGCTGATGAAAATTGTTACAAAATTTTTTGTCATGTAAAACTATTATAATTCAATAAATCAAAAAATATTCTTTTTTTTTTTAAGATTTTATCCATTTATTTGAGAGAGAGAATGAGAGACAGAGAGCATGAGAAGGAGGAGGGTCAGAGGGAGAAGCAGACTCCCCGCCGAGCAGGGAGCCCGATGCAGGACTCGATCCCGGGACTCCAGGACCATGACCTGAGCCGAAGGCAGTCGCCCAACCAACTGAGCCACCCAGGCGCCCTCAAAAAATATTCTTATCCAAGGATGCAAGTTACAAATGAGAAGTTATAACTGTCATGCACATTTTCATTTCTACTATATTCTTCTGAATGATGTGGGAAAAGTCCTTTCAGTTGGTGTGTGGTTTAATTTTTACATTTACAGCTGTCAACTGTAAATAATCTACAGTATGCGTTGGTGAACTACATCCCATGGGCTAAATCCAACTTGCTGCTAGTGTCTTTTTTTTTTTTTCAGCTTTATAAGGTACAATTGACAAAAAAAAAAAATTGTATATATTTAACATGTACAACTTGATGTTTTGATATAGGAATGCACTCTGCTGCTGGTTTTTGTATGACCTGTGAGCTAAGAATTATTTTTATAAGTTGAAAATAGAGCTACCATATGATCCAGCAATTGCACTACTGGGTATTTACCCCAAAGATACAAAAGTAGGGATCCGAA